CTGCTCATTTGATCATGAGGCCATTACGGTGTCACAACCACAGGCCTTTTATGATATATTTAATGGTGGGGGATTGAACAAAAAAGAAAAGAAAGAGAATTCATGGACAAAGACAAGTGTGGTGATTGCGTGGGGATGAGGCGGGTGGATGTGGAAGAGGGCACAGAGCGGATAAATGGTGATAGGAAAAATAAATATAAAACTATAAAGTGAATATAGCCCTGGCCAGTTGCTCAGTGATTAGAGCATGGGCTTCTGGCCAAGGGCCAGTACCTCGGTTGCAGGTTTCCCAGACCCAATAGGGGCAAGTGCGGGAGGCAACCAATGGATGTGTCTCTCTCACATCGATGTTTCTTGCTCTCTCCCCCTCCTCCCTTCCTTCCACCTCTCTAGAAATCAAAGGAAAAAATATCATTGGGTAAGGATTAAAAAAATAATAATAAAGTGAATGTAGGATGGTTAATAGAAATTCTTCAAATAGGGAGCACAGTAGAAATTTTAAAAGAGAGAGTTTTAAGACACATCTGGACAGATATTGAGAAAGGCAGGGTGGTTGGTGCTTGCCTAAAACTAGAATGGAACGTATGTGAGGGAAGAGATTATGTCCGCTTGGTTCACAATGGATCATCAGGGACTGGCAGAGTATCTGAAAAATAGTAGCCAATCAAGAACTTAACAAATTAATGAGTAAAGCAAAGATTTGCACTACCTGTTATGTGCAGGTGCTAGTGTGTCACTGATCAGTATATAGACAATTTAAATCCTATATAATAAAGGGGTATTATGCAAATTGACCGTAACACCCTCACACACATGGCCGGCAGGGGAGGGCAGTTAAGGGCAACCAGGCCGGCAGGGGAGGGCAGTTGTAGGCACAAGATGGCCAGCAGGAGAGGGCAGTTAGGGGCAACCAGGCCTGCAGGGGAGGGCAGTTGGGAGGGGACCAGGCCTGCAGGGGAGGGCAGTTGGGGAGACCCAGGCCTGCAGGGGAGGGCAGCTGGGGAGACCCAGGCCTGCAGGGGAGGGCAGTTGGGAAGACCCAGGCCTGCAGGGGAGGGCAGTTGGAGTGACCGGGCTGGCAGGGGAGGGCAGTTGGGGGCGACTGGGCCGGCAGGGGAGCGGTAAGGCGTCGATCAGGCTGGCAGGCAGAAGCGGTTAGGGGCAATCAGGCAGGCAGGCAGGCGAGCGGTTGGGAGCCAGCAGTCCTGGATTGTGAGAGGGATGTTAGGTCCCTGTGGGATTGGGCCTAAACTGGCAGTTGGACATCCCTTGAGGGGTCCCAGATTGGAGAGGGAGCAGGCTGGGCTGAGGGATCATCCCCCCAACACCACCACCAGTGCACGAATTTCATGCACCAGGCCTCTAGTATTGTAACAGGAGAAAAGCATGAGAGAGTATTAGGATGGGGTCTCTAAATAATTCAGAGATTTGGAAAGCTTCTTGGAGGAATTAATACCTGGGCTGAGTTTTGAGGGAAGAAGTAAGGAAAGGCACTGGGCACAGCATGTATTAAATTCCGTTGAAATGAAACATCTTTATGCATTTGAGGAACCCAAAACAATGCAGTTTGGCTGGAGAGAATAGGGTGCCATAATGGTGTGATGTTAGATTTGGTGACAGGAGCCTCTAGAATTTGAAGAACCTTTATATGCTATGCTAAAATTTGGGTTTTATTCTAAATTTGGTGATCACTAAAAGATTTTAAATAGAGAATGACATGATCAGATCTGCCTTTTGAAGTTCGCTCAAGTATCAGTGGTAGTGGGAAGTGAGGGAAGAATAGAGGTGGGGAGGTTTACACTGAGACATGAAGATAATGGAATAGATATGAAAGATGTTACTGTGGAAGAGATGGGATGTGGGGGCTGAGTGAAAGAAAGGTATTAGAATGATTGCCAGGCCTCAGGTTGGGACGTAGTGCACTTAATGAAATAGATAATACCAGAGGAGCAGAGTTTTTTGGTTTTCTGAAAGTGAACGGGGAGGAAAATAACAATTATAAACCCAGTCTTTACTTGAGCTTGAGGTACCAGTGGGAAGTATAACTGTGCAAGTTCTGCATCTTTTGATGCCAACATCATGGAGGTCAACCACACGCTCTCACAAATGTTTCTTGTGGTATACAGGTCTTGAAGCAGCATGGGATTCCGGAACTTTTATGTGCTATGAGGCCCTTTAAAAAGAAATGGAGGGTGGGGCGGGGGGCCTCATGAGCAGGTTGAATGTTAGTCACTATAAAATGGAGAAATAATCCTTAATGCTGTAACCTAAGACCTCATTTCATATATAAAAAAATGGCAGCATGAGCAACAAGTTCAGTCTGCTTTCCATTAAACTATAATAACAGAATAGATATGATAGAATAAGATGTACTACTTTATCTCTTTGAAATTATACCCTAAGTGTGAGCATTTGAGGTCTTGCTCCCCAGCATATGTTGTCAGCTTGGCTCAAAAAACTCTTATAAAAAAAGAAAGAGAGAAGAAAGAAAGAAAGAAAGAAAGGAAGAAAGAAAGAAAGAGAAATTATGCTCTGAGTGATCCTATATATTCCATTGTGAAAATTTTCTTTGTAGAAGAAAAAAATTGCCATCAATTTTATATGCAATTTTCCTGCATAATTACTAAACCTCCTTTCCTTATTATGCTAAGTATTATTTTTGTCCTATTTTTCAACTAGATGGTTATTAGCTATATTAACTTAGAAACTTCCAGTTCAGTAAACATGTTTCCTGGCAACCTCATCACATAAGAATACACACTACGGTTCTTAAAAGGTTTGCCTTGCCTCTTACGTGTATATTACACTCGCTCAAACAACATTTAATGACCCAAGAAAGCATCTTTAGCCATACATCTAGGATTCACGGTGCATTCATTTTTTATTTCCATCAAAAGATTCTGGTAGGAATGAAATACTTGTAAACTCATTCACTTCTAAAACAACAAATTGTTAGTCCGGTCTCCTTCAAAGTTACCTTTCTCCCTCTATCCACCAGCTAAAGACCTACCAGTGGTTCTCAACCTTCCTCATGCCGCGACCTTTTAATACAGTTCCTCATGTTGTGGTGACCCCCAACTTGTTACAAACTGAACATAATTAAAGCATAGTGATTAATCACAAAAACAATATGTAATTATATATGTGTTTTCCGATAGTCTTAGGCGACCCCTGTGAAAGGGTCGTTCGACTACCAAAGGGGTCGCGACCCACAGGTTGAGGACCGCTGAACACTGATTCATTACCTCCCCATCTCTCACGAAAAAAAATAAAGAGTCGCTCCTGCTCCATTCCCCCAAACCCCAAACCGAACCCATCCTGGAATAAGGAAGAGGGAAGCAAAGTGGAACCAGCTACGACGGGCGCCCGCGAGCACAGACTCGGGACCTAAGCCGGGCTCGGAGCGCTGACCGGGAATCCCCGCAAGGACCTGGGCTGTTTGCCAGAGAAAGACCGTCCCCACAGCCCCGGGACCGACCGGCGCTAGAACCCGAGCCGAGCGAGTGACAGGCCGAGGCCCGCCGCGCGGGGAGGGCCGCCCGAAGCACGCCAAGAATGCGAAAGAAACGCCCGGAATCCGACCGCGGCCGCCGGGCGACCCGCAAGGTGAAACGGATCCCAGGCAGGCTCGTCGCGGAGGCCCTCGCTGGAGAGCGGCGCCCGGGCCTGGCCGAGCGAGGGAAACACCGCTGGGAAGCCGGGGACCGGCTCGTTCACGAGTCGGAGCCCGCAGCCCTCCGTGCGGTCCCCGCCGCCGGACGCCCGGAGCGAGGCGGGGGCGGGCGTGGGGGCGGGGCCGGGCTCCTTCCCCGCCCCCCACGGCGGAGCCGGCCCGACAGCGCCCTCAGTGCGCCTGCGTGGGGTGAGGCCGGACTCTACTTGGCCGCCGGGCGTGCGACGGCGGCGGCGATCCCTACCCGGCATGCAGCGCGGGGGGCGGCCCTACGTCCCTCGCCTTCCCAACCCTGCCCCTCCCCCTCCCGCCGCGGCCCCCCCCTTTTCCTAAAGTGAGTGAGTGAGACGGGCAGATGGAGGAGGGACTGTAATGGCGGCGGCCGGCAGCTCCCTGCTCTGACCCACGGCAGGCATACAGCAACCATCCCCTCCCCGCCCCGCTCCCAGCCGGCCTCCGCCCGGCCGCCCGCGCGGGGCCCCCCTCCCCGGCCCTCTCCCCAACTGTCGGCGTCTCACCCGGCGCCCCGGCCGGGGCCCCACACACAATGGACGAGCTCGCGGGAGGCGGTGGAGGCGGCCCGGGGATGGCGGCCCCTCCGCGGCAGCAGCAGGGACCCGGGGGGAACATGAGCCTTCCGCCGGGGGGCAACGGCGCGGCGGGCAGCGGGGGTCCTCCGGCCGCCGAGGGCGCGGGTCCCGCGGCAGGCCCCGAGCTGTCCCGGCCGCAGCAGTACACCATCCCGGGCATCCTGCACTACATCCAGCACGAGTGGGCTCGGTTCGAGATGGAGCGGGCGCACTGGGAGGTGGAGCGGGCCGAGCTGCAGGTACCTGGCCGGGGTCGGTGTGCGGGACGGCGGCGGGGCTCCCGGCGCGGGTGGGAACGGGGCTTCCCTCGGAGGGAGCCCGCGCGGCCTGGGGAAGCCCGGAGGGACCTACCTGTGCGGCTCAGGGGGGGGGGGGGGGGGCGCCGGTCCTAGCCACGGTTCTTCCGGGAGTCCTCCTCCCCCGGCCCCGCAGAAGCTGGTTTCCCCAGCCCTCGCTAGCTGCGCGGTGCGAGCTTCCTCGGGGCAGCCATTTTGGCTCTGACTATGGCGTCTGCGGGGGCTCCCGGAGGCGGCCTGCCGGGCGCCGGGGCCGGGGGCTGAGCGCCTCTCGGGGGGAGAGTCCGGCGTGGGCTGCTGAGCACGGAACTTGCTCTCGTGTGTGGCCCCTGCAGATGGAGCGCCCGAGGAGAGGGCCTGGGACGGGTATTTTACCACCTTCTCCCGGATCACCCCCCTTTCCCATTTGGCCCGTCTGGCCCCCTCCCCTGGAGTTGGTACCTGCTTGCCCCTTGACCACCGGGCTCCTTCCCAGGGCTGCTCTGAAGCCTGTCGCTGGCCTGTGCAGTGTTCATGTCCTCCCGCGACTGGAAGTGCCTTCCCACCCGGGCTGCTGGCTTCATGCACTTAGATTCATTCCCCTTCGGTTCTGCCTGAGTTTAGGGACGAGCTCGTCAAGCCTTTCCCAGGCAGGCGTACCTTGGAGAGATTGAGGGTTCGGCTCCAGACCCACTGCATTTGATCAAGTGGCAGTATTTTTTGCGGGTGGAGGGTCTTGCTTTCAGTTTGTAAAAAAAACAAACACGCGCATCATCTGAAGAAATAAAGCGGAGCGCAATAAAACGAGGTATATCAGTACTGAATTTTTTGTAGGGTACCCTTCACCAGGTCTCCCCCTCCTCCGTCCTCTTCTTTACCTGTAAAAACCAACCTAGACGATCTGTGTTGTGTTTGTGAAACGACTGAGGAAAATAATTAATGCTAGCTGGGAGTAAAATGTTTTCATCTCAGTTTACTACCTCACAGAGGTGAAGCAAATGTATGTATCCTCAGGACCCTTCCTACTTAAGGTGAAACTTGGATGGGCTGGCTTGCCTGTCTTGGTAGATGTTGGTAGTTTAAGGTCTCTATGTCTTGGATTTCAGAATGGTTGCATATTGTTAAAAGGATTGTTCAACATTTGGGGGTACATTGCCATGTCAAATTTAGGCTTAGAAGGGGGAAAAAAACACATGTATCTAAATAGTGTTGCACCTGTTCTTCAGATTGGTATGTATATATATTTAGAGTGTCAGCAGTATTATTCACTCACACATACGTCATTTATGCCTATGGTGAATAGTTAAGAAAATGTGTTTAAAGAAGGAATTTTGGATTAACTTAGAAAGGGTGAACTCAAAGAAATATATATGGGTATCCATATATATATATATATATATATATATATATATATATATATATATTCGGTTTGATTTTGAACTAGTAAACTTTTATTTGACTCTACAAAGTGGGTAAAGGGTAAGAGTAGTTATATATTTTGACACTTAGCAAGTTTTGAAAAAATTAACTATAGATTAACACCTGTTAGTGAAGTCAATGTTTTAGGATTGTGCTTTGAGATATTATAGGGCTTTTAGAAATACAACTTTCAAAAAGTTTAAGTCAACATTGTCCATTTTTTAAGACTTCTGTATGTATAGTCTCCTTTAAAATACCTGGGATTTATAAGAATTCTGCTGATACACAACTTTCTACCACACCAGGTTGCAAACTTAATATTATGTGTGAGTGAAGATAGGCATTTGTTTTTTAAAATTGCATTTGTAAATGCATCGAAACTTGGGCTCACTAAATAATACTTCACCAGTCTGAAATAGTGTTTATGAACTTTGTACTGTTGCACAAAAGCTTGAATTCTACCACTTTTCAGCTTAGCAATTGCATTACTCATTTATAAGCTTCAGTAATTTAAGTAGCTGAGAAAAATGTCATTTGTCTAAATTAGTAAGATACATACATTAGTGAGGTCTGTGTTGTCTGCCCTGGTCCTTGCCTTCTCATCTAGTTTTTTCCTTGACAGTAACAGAAAAGTCATTAAAGGAAGATTCCTTTTACTTGCTTGTTTGCTTTCAGTTGATCTACTGTTGGCATATTAGTTCTGATATAGCCATTCTAAGCTCTGCTTTTTGTTTGCTTGATTGCTTGCTTATTTTGAAGAAGTTCTACAGGGTTTCTAGACTCTTAATTTTTTCCAGGGATTTTCATTATTTCATACTGATATTTTTTGAAATAAAATGTTCATGATTGTGTTCAGATGCTTTTATTCTATACATTTCTCTAAAATGTTTTATTGAGTTACTTAGTAGGGTTTCAGGTTTGCTTCTGCAATGTTGAATTAGCTTTAAGTGCATTCAGTCTTTAGTAAAATTGTGCACATTTTAAAATGTCTGTGTTGAATAAAAATTTATTGGGAGGGTTTAAGTGATGCATCAGTGGATTTCAACTGTAAACTTAAACTTATTTTTTTAAGAAAGATAAATAAGACAACCTACATATTGTATATAGTCTTGGGTACACTGTTCATTTACACATATGAAACTGTTCAATAATGAATATGAAGAGGCAAAGATATACCTAATTTTAATGTAAAAATTTAATATGGAATCATGTATTCCTTGACTTTGAAAGATTTTAAATTGGAATTTTTCAATATGCTTTTTTTCTTTCTAAAAGGAATTTGGGGTAAAGCCCTATTTAAGAAACTTGGAACTAACCAAAGGCTCATGTCTTAAAGCTTTTTTTTTTATCTTTGTATGGGTGCCTTACCTTGTATTAAAATATTTGTTAGTAAGGCTCTAGGACAGTGAATTCTGAACAAAAATGCCAGTCAGAATCACTTTTAAAACTTTAAAAAAAAAAAAATGCAGGTTTCTGCCTCATCCTCCAGAAATTTGGCCTAGGACTTGGAAAAAATGGACTTTGTAGGATTTTGGCAATTCATGTTATCCTATATAATAAAAGCCTAATATGCTAAGTGCCTGGTTGACCTGTCGGCCATTCAACCAATCAAAGCGTAATATGCTAATGATATGCACTGACCACCAGGGGGCAGACACTCCAACCAGTAGGTTAGTTTGCTGCTGGGGTCCGGCCAGTTGGGACTGAGCAAGATGGGCCAGACACGCCCTGAAACCCTCCTGCAGTCCTTCCCCAGCTGGCCAACCTCCCGTGTCCCTCCCCTGGCCCTGATTTGTGCACCAGTGGGGTCTGTTGGCTTGGCCTGGCCTGTTTCCTCTCGCAATTCGGGACCCCTTGGGGGATGTCAGAGAGCTGGTTTTGGCCCAATCCCACAGGGCAGGCTGAGGGACGCCACTGGTGCATGAATTCGTGTACCAGGCCTCTAGTATAAAAATAATAACTGCCCTGTAATCAGCATTACAATCTTATGGACGTACCATTCCTGTTTTACAGATGAGACAAATTTAGGTTAAATAACTGCAAGGTCACCCAGCTTTAAAGTGTTACAGTTGACACTTGAACCCAGGTTGGTCTGAATTCAAAGCCTATGTTCTTACTACCACTTTTGTAACCACTATATTATATGGTCATCTTACATTTTTTCATAGAAATGGAGTCTGTCCTGTAATTCTTTGTCTACCATCACATGGCATCACTTCAGTACATTTCAAAAAGTTCTTTTGAGCTCCCATGATGTAGCAAGTGTAGTTCATGTATATTGCAACAATGTCCTTATATGTTTCTATAGTTAGTATGTAATAAAAAATTCACTTATGGTATATATAAAATGCTGTTTGTCGACTATAAAAATATGTCATAGATAATACACAGAAAATATAGTCCAGGAATTTGTATTCTAAAACTGCTAATTCTTCAGCAAATATAAAAATTTTAATTAGTGTTTGTGTTTGCACACACTGGCATATAGACTTGTCATAACACGACAGATATTGCTACCTAACAATCTTACCCTATCGGACATATTTTTCTCACATGTAACTTGATTTCTTCTCACTTTTTTTTAATTCTTCATTTTTAATTAAAGGGGGAAGAACTTTGTTTCCCCTGCACTCTTCCTTTTATTGTCAGCATTTTCTTAGGGTAGTCAAGAATGATGATTTGGAAGTTCCGGTGCCTTTTCTATTACAGCATTTTTATGATTCTACTATGAAATACTGTAATGTAGTTTCCTATTTGAAATGATGGTGACAATAGAGTAAAAAATATTTTACTCAATAGGATTACGAGTCTACAGCCTATGTCATTCTCCCTGTTTCTTTTTGAAAGCTTTGAAAACCAAAAGTCTAGGGTAGTGATTTTTAGTTGATGTACCTCAAGAATTTTTAAAACATGCAATACCATTCCCGGCCAGTGTTGCCAAGTGGTTGAACGTTAATTTATGAACCAGAAAGTCATGGTTCGATTTCCGGTCAGGGCACATGCCCAGGTTGCATGCTTGATCCTACAGTAGGGAGCGTGCAGGAGGCAGCCGATCAATGATTCTCTCTCAGCATTGATGTTTCTATCTCCCTCTCTGAAATCAATAAAAATATATTTAAAAACTAAAAGTAAAACATGCAATACCTGACTACTTAGTCAGGGGCAACTGACCTCTTTTCCCTTAGATTGTCAAATGGAAAAAAATAACAGCCAACACAATAACCGTTTGGTGTGAATGAATCAAAATTATACCTATTTTGCCTTGGCCAGTGTGACTCACTGGTTAGAGTGTCGGCCCATGAACCGAAAGGTCTTGGGTTTGATTCCTGTTCAAGGGCACGCACTTGTGTTGCAGGTTTGATTGGAGCATGTGTTGGAGGCAACCAATCGATATGTTTCTCTTACATTGATGTTTCTCTCCTTCTCCCTCCTTCTACTTCCTCCCTCCCTTCTACTCCCTCTAAAAAAGTAATGGAAAAAATATCCTCAGGTGAGAATTAATAACAACAACAACAAAATTATACCTATTTTTTCTTGTTGAATCGGCAAAAAAATTTTTTTGGTGTGCCACAGAATTTTAGTAATTTATGTGTGCCATGAGATGAAAAAGGTTAAAAATCGCTCGTCTAGGAATTACTAACCTAGAATTTTTTTCTCTTCCATTTACCCCTTAACCCTGCTTTATGGTTTGCCTTGTTGCTCCCTACTCATTCCTTAATACCCACTTGAGCACTTTGTAGAATGCTGTTGGCTTGTTTTTTCCTATTCCTGATTGGCCTTCAAATTGCCAAATCCTTTGGCTTTCTTACAGACTATATCTACTTAACCAGCATTTTCTGCTATTGACTGTTTCTTCCTCAAAAAATTATTTTCTTTGATTTCTACTCTGTAATTCCCTATTTTCCCTTTGGTCCACTTACCACTTTTCTCCATGCTTGCTTTTTCTTCTTTGTTCCTAATTGTTGTTACCTGGGGTACTGGGTTTTTTTCTTGTTTCCACTGTACATTTCATTTGAAATGAGATTTTCAGCTATGACTTACCATACCATGTTAATAGCTAACATTTATTATTTACTGTTTGCTGTCATTTTAATTCCTCAATATTTACTCATTTAATCCTAAAACACATCTCAGTAAGGTTGGCACAGTTGTTTTCTTTGTTGAGTTTTTGTTTGTTTTTTAATATATTTTTATTAATTTCAGAG